AATTATCTATGTTCCCTTGGGTGGCTGACCTTTGTGCTATTGTTTGGTGCATGGATTTATGGTAGTGTGTTCTCAAACACAGGGACAGTTAGAGGTTTTTTTGGTTATCACATGGACTGATATTTAATGTAACGCAATGAGTGGGATGTCCTACTCAGAGGAGAATCATATTAGTGTCCCATTCCTAGGTACTTTTCTACAGTAAGAAAATGAGTACATGTTCATTGAAGACATTTAAACAAATTTTTACTTTCTAATTTCTCTTTGACTAATAGACATAAATTTTTTCATGGGTCACTTCTGTTTGTCTCCACTGTTTATTCTATTATTAGTGAACCTAAAAAGTTATTTAGTATCTCCAGAGTTTAGGTAAATATTCACATATATTTTTCCAAGTTTCCATTGAAAGGGAGGGTGCACGGTTTCATGAAATGAAAACTCATTTCCTAAGATATTCTAGATTTGTGCATTAACATTAGTAATCATGAAAGAGTGACACTTTAAAAATACTTTAAGATTTGAGCTCTCTTTTGAAGCATTTCTTTTACAGGTGTATGTTGTAGAAAACAGGAAATGAAAGGACTGAAATGAAAAAAGACAGACTCTTTTCTTTTATGAACATTTTTTTTTATTAAGTTATCATTGATACACAGTCTTATGCTCAGGTTTCACACGAGCAACATTTACTACATTCCCCCTATTATCAAGCCCCCACCACAAACCCCATTACAGTCACTGTCCATCAACATAGTAAGGTGCTAAAGAGTCACTACTTGTCTTCTCTGTGCTATACTTCTTTCCCTGTGAACTCCTGCATTATGTGTGCTAATCATAATGCCCCTTAATCCCCTTATCCCTCCCCAGTCCCTTTCCCTTTGGTAACTGTTAGGCCATTCTTGGGTTCTGTGAGTCTGCTGCTGTTTTCTTCCTTCAGTTTTTGCTTTGTTGTTATACTCCACAGATGAGTGAAATCATTTGGTATTTGTATTTCTCCGCTTGGCTTATTTCACTGAGCATAATACCCTCTAGCTCCATCCATGTTGTTGCAAATGGTAGGATTTGTTTTCTTCTTATGGATGAATAATATTCCATTGTATATATGTACCACATCTTTATCCATTCATCTATTCATGTACACTTAGGTTGCTTCCATATCTTGGCTATTGTAAAGAGTGCTGCGATAAACATAGGGGTGCATATGTCTTTGAATCTGTGGTCCTGTTTTCTTAGGGTAAATTCTTAGGAGTGGAATTCCTGGGTCAAATGGTATTTCTATTTTTAGTTTTTTGAGGAACCTCCGTACTGTTTTTCACAATGGTTGAACTAATTTACATTCCCATCAGCAGTGTAGGAGGGTTCCCCTTTGTCCACATCCTCACCAGCATTTGTTGTTTGTCTTTTGGATGTTGGCCATCCCAGCTGGTATGAGGTGATACCTCATCGTGGTTTTAATTTGCATTTCCCTGATGATTAGCGATGTGGAGCATCTTTTCATTTGCCTTTTGATCATCTGAATTTCTTTGGAGAAGTGTCTATTCAGATCCTCTGCCCGTTTTTTAATCAGGTTATTTGCTTTTTGCTTGTTGAGATGCATGAGTTCTTTATATATTTTGGATGTCAACCCCTTATTGGATATATCATTTATAAATACATTCTCTCATACTGTAGGTTGCCTTTTTGTTCTACTGGTGGTGTCTTTGCTATACAGAAGCTTTTTAGTTTGATATAGTCCCCCTTGTTCATTTTTGCTTTTATTTCCCTTGTCTAAGGAGATATGCTCATGCAAAAGTTCCTCGTGTTTATATTCAAGAGAGTTTTGCTTATGTTTTCTTCTAAGAGTTTTATGGTTTCATGACTCACATTCAGGTCTTTGATCCATTTTGAGTTTACTTTTGTGTATGAAGTTAGACAGTGATCCAGTTTCATTCGCCAATACCAGCTGTTGAAGATGCTGTCATTTCCCCATTGTATGTCCATGGCTCCTTTATCATATATCAATTGGCCATATATGCTTGGGTTTATATCTGGGCTCTCTATTCTGTTCCACTGGTCTGTGGGTCTGTTCTTGTCCCTGTACCAAATGGTATTGATAACTGTGGCTTTGTAGTAGACCTTGAAGTTGGGGAGCATAATCCCCCCAGGTGTATTCTTCCTTCTCAGGATTGCTTTGTCTATTTGGGGTCTTTTGTGGTTCCAGATGAATTTTAGAACTATTTGTTCCAGTTCGTTGAAGAATGCTGTTGTTATTTTGATAGGGATTGCACTGAATCTGTAGATTGCTTTAGGCAGGATTCCCATTTTGAGAATATTAATTCTTCCTAGCCAAGAGAATGGGATGAATTTCCATTTGTTAGTGTCCTCTTTAATTTCTCTCAAGAGTGTCTTGTAGTTTTCAGGGTATAGGTCTTTCATTTCCTTGGTTAGCTTTATTCCTGGGTATTTTATTCTCTTTGATGCAAGTGTGAATGGAATTGTTTTTCTGATTTCTCTTTCTGTTATTTCATCATTAGTGTATAGAAATGCAACAGATTTCTGTGTATTTAGATACAGACTCTTAACATTTTCATATATTTCCTATTTTATTATGCAGATATATCTTCAGATTTTATTATTTTTAAAATGGGAAACTAATTCATGAATATCTTATTGTAAAAATTCAAAGCTAATAGTTAAAGCTTAATGCTCCTGTTGACTTCCATCCCTCTGCCCAGTTCTCTCTGCAGAGTACTGTCAGGAATTTTGGTATATTTCTCATAAGACCTTTTTCTTTATCTGTGGAAATAGAATACTTTAGGGTGTACAAAAGATGCTTATGTACAACTTGCTTTTTTTTTCTAGTCAACAATAGTTTTTTTGGAAAGTGTAAGTAAAGGCTTGTTAAAATGCTGCATAATAATAATAGAATGTATATACTGTAATTTATTCAGCTGTTCAGTCATCACGGGACATTTTTGGGTGTTTGCTTTTTGTTGTTTGTGTTACAGTGTTGTAAAAAGCATTTTCACACATGCATATCTTTTCAGTTAACATTGATTGATCTATTAAATATTGATTTCCTGCCATAGCCAAGCACTGTTTGAGGCACTGGGATTTAAGAGGGGATCAAAACTGGAAAAGTCTATCACATGACAGAGCTTATATTCTAGTGAATGGACAAAAAAAACTTGAATTTATAACAAAATATCAAGTAGCAATAGATGCTGGGAAAAAAATAAAGCACAGTAACGGGATACAAGTGTTGCAGGACAGGAGCTGCTCTTTTGAATATACTGGGCAAGGATTGTTTCTATGAGGAGTTGATACTTAGCAGTGACTTAAATGAAGTGAGGGAATAAACCATGTGAAGATCTGGGGTAAGAACATGCCATACAGAGGGAACAACAAATGTAAAAGACCTGATGAGGGACTAGGTCTTGGGATATTTAAAGAATAGCAGGGACACTTCACTGTCAAAAACTTCACTTAAAAAAACCACAAAAAACACAAAAAACAAACAAACAAAAAAGAGTGGCAGGGACACCAATGTGGCTGAAGCAAAGTTGACAAACAATACTAGGTGAAGTTTCAGTGGTCAGCAAGAGCTAAAATACTTAAAGTCATGCTGTCCAGTACAGTGCTTAACAACTTGAGCCTCATGTGGTTACTGAGCACCTGAAATGTGGCTAGTTTTATGAATTGATAAACAGTGGATTTCTAAGATTTAGTACCAAAAAGAGAATGAAATAGCTCATTAAAAACATGTTGAGTTGATTATATATTGGAATAGTAATATTTTGGATATACTGATACATTATTTAAATGAACATTTTTTTTTAAATGTGGCTACACATGTGGCTTCATCTTTCTGTTGGACAACACTAGTTTAGGGTCTTAAAATCCATGTAAGACATTAGAAAATATTAGGCAGAGGAATGATAGGGTAAGGTTGGCGGTTTTTACAGTGCACTCTGGTTATTCTGTGGGGAATTGACATTACCAGGACTAAGTAAAAGCAGGGAAACCAGTTAGGAGGCTATTGCAGTAGTCCAGATAAGAAATTATAATAATTGTAAAAATAGAGCTTTGGGATAATTGTTGAAACTCGTGGCAAACTGACTTTCTGATTGCTTGGATAATGAACTTTGAAAGACACTGGAACCAAAGATGGCTCCAAGGTTTCAGCCTTAGCTGGGTTGGACAGCGATAATGTTTACTGAGTTCTGAGAGAACTAGGGATAGAGAAAGAGTTATTTAAGATATATTAGTTTTAGTAAAACAAACTGTTTACTGGAGTATACCATAGAATATCAGTAACTACACAAATTCTAAGTATAGGTCAACATTTTTCCAAAGTGAACTCAGCTGTGTAAGCAGTGTTCATATCCAGGAACAGAACAAATCACTATCCTATTACACTTTATGCTCCTAAGTCCATAAATTAGTTGTGGTATTCATTGTAATTTCAAAGTCCTGAAACTATAGGACTGTTTACATTGTGACTTAGAATTGAGAAACTTGGAAAACCATCAGAGACTGAGGGTAATTAGGAATTATTTTCCTGAGCTTTCATAACTTTTGCCTGTTTTTCAAACTAGAGTTTTTTTTCAAAAACACAGTAGGAAGTCAGCTGTAACTGTATACCATTTGGTGTTTGGGGGCATACTATCTATACTGTAGTACTCACTTTGTAAGAATAGAAATCTGCACCTGGAATATTGTGGTTAAGCAAATAGCTGTAGTTTTTTTTGGAGGAAAATAAACAAATGGTTCAACTTCTCTCTCCTTCTTCTACCCCTGAAAGTAGAGACTTTGAAGGCTTACAAAAATTTAGATAAAGGATTATCAGATACTAAGTAGTAATTTAATGTTTTAAAGCTAAGATAGTTAGTTTCCTTGGGTTTGTGGATGTATTCTCAATTTCAGGTAGGCAGGAATTGAAATTCTACACAATTTAAAACTTAATGCAACAAATTTAGCAATATACTGAAATTGCTAAGTACTTTTGATGTTTTTTTTCTTAGGTAGTCTATGTCTGTAGTCTACTGGAGGGTTGAAAGGTATGTTTTTTTGCTTTGTTTCATGTGAAACAAATTATAGTATCCGTTACATCTGTTAGAAATAAAAAATGGGGGAAGTTATGAGAAAATGGGGTTATTTTTCCCTCTTATTCATGCTATGGTATCAAAAGTAAACAGACTAACACTTGGGCTGAATTTGAATAGAACATAGCCTATCTTTTATGTAATTTAATCCCTATCAAACATAATCAACATTAAATGAATACATATAATTTGGGTTTTTCAGATTGTTGGTAATTTGGGTAAAGTCTTTTATTATTGAATATTCTGACTTGCAGTTTGTGTGTATGTGAAAGTGATAAGGAATAGTAGATATATGAACCTACACATGGATAGAATTGTGAACTATGAGTAAGTACACATGTACACAAATGAGTACAGCTAAAACCAGGGAAATGTGAATAGGATAAATGGATTGTAGTTTCATAAAATGCTACCACTGGAGGAAATTGGGTAAATAACACTCTATATCATTCTGTATTTCCCACAACTCTATGTAAATACATAATTGTCTCAATAAAAATTTTAATTAAAATTAATTAAGGGAGGAATCTTGAGAATGGAGAATAGAGATCTTTCAGAGCTACCCTGGGCCTAAAATATTATGCATGCACTGCTTGCTGAGCTAACAGCTTAGATATGATAATTTTCAGGAAAGCATATACATTTCAGTCTCTATTCGAACCAAGTGAAACTGTCAATTTTGTAGTCTGTCATTTTGGATGCTATTTACACTAAGTGCCTTTGTTTCTTCTGCTCTTCACCTTACCCTGTTACTCCAAACCAAGTATTAAGATTCAAACATTATAAGTCTTTAAAATAAATGCCTTATGAAAAGAATGTCTGTTCTTAAACTGTTACAGAGTATCTCTCTTACTGGTATTTATTGTTTTACACCAGTATATCAGTAAGCTTAATATTGTGCTCTTACTCCAAATATAAATCTGCCATATATTACTACAGTTAAAATATCCCACTTTATTCGTCAATGACATATTTTTGGTGTTTTTTAGGAGTTTCATTGTTTTCCTTTTAAAAACTACTGTCTTAATCGAAACTCATTTTCATTTTCTAGGAGCAAAAAGATTGGATTTTTCTCTATTTAAAGGTAATTTGCTTGTTGAGTTCACTAGTCATAACAGACTTAGTATAGTTTTCTACTTTGTGGTGGTAATCTATATTTGGTTAAAATAGAAATTTTATTATGTCATGACTAAGCCTTTCCTTTTATGTCTTTCTATCTGCTTCACAAGATGCAGTCTAATCTCTGAAAGAAAAGAATATACGTGATTTATATCATAGAAATAAATATCAAAATAAATTCAAACTACATTTCTAGTTTATGTTCCACAGAATTTATTTTTCCAGAAATTTATGAAAAAATCTTTGCTGTTTAAGTCTGTTTGCCTGAAACTATTTTATTCATAGGTTGAAGTACTGAAGCCATGGGAATAAAGGTTCAGCGTCCTCGATGCTTTTTTGACATTGCCATTAATAATCAACCTGGTAAGAAAATAATGTTCCTGTTTATAAACAAGTACTTAATTTTTTAAATTAGTAAAGAAGTTTAAATGAGCTGCCTTCTTTTTCAGCTGGAAGAGTTGTCTTTGAATTATTTTCTGATGTGTGCCCCAAAACATGCGAGAACTTTCGTTGTCTTTGTACAGGTTTGTTGACATTTCAATTCCCCTGATAATCAGTAGTTTCATTTGACTATGGTTTGTTTTCATTTTTAACATATTTTAGACTTCCTCATGCATATAACTTCCTTCTCTTAACATGCAGATTATGCAACATTGAACAGAATGTGAAAGTAGAAAGTAGTTCTTAGAAATTTTAGTTGTAGTGGAATTTTATCAGAAATTGATTTATATATTTCTACACTGTCCAGAAAAACATGGGTAGGTTTTAAATGAATTTTTTAGAAAATTCCTTGAGGGGAGTGAAGATTCTATGTTCAAAGAAGTCTGCATGGTTCAAGAGAGGTATATTTTACAAGGCCAAAAGTTCTCATCACTAATTTTGCTTTAATACTCCTTCCTTGATTTCCTTTCTACTAAATAACCTAATAAATTTTCTTCTCTGTAGGTGAAAAAGGGACAGGGAAATCTACTCAGAAGCCATTACACTATAAGAGTTGTCTCTTTCACAGAGTTGTCAAAGATTTTATGGTTCAAGGTGGTGACTTCAGTGAAGGTAAGACTTTGATTCCCATAAAAGAAAATCATATATATATATATTCTTTGTTGAATATTATAGATTTCGATGTTAGACAAGTCTCGAGAAATACTAGTCTAGTTTTCTTCTCACCCCATTTAGTATTTGGTCAAAAATCAGAAGATAAAAAGAAGGAAGCACTTAAGAAATAATTTTACTTTTGATAGATAAATTAATTTCAGAAATTTGCTTCTGGATAAAAACCAAAACATCTAGTAAACTATCAATGTCTGTGTTTGATTTGTCACAACTAATAATCCATAACTACAATATTTTCTATCAGTACTTTTTTATTGTAAAAGCATTTTATTGTCAAAGTTTTTTTAATTGTAAAAAAAACTATTTTTAAAGTCATTTTGAAAATAGGCCTGTAATTTTTGCTAAAAGACCTGCATAATCATTAGAATCTGAATATTCTTTTTTCCACATAATCGTGATAGGCTTTGTCACAATCTTAACTATTTTATCAAAAGAGAAGGGAAAGTAATTTAGGATCTTGTCAGTATTGACTTTAAAGTCTTTTATATATTTGCTCTGAACCTTTGAGTATTATTGATTCACAGTCATTCAAGCATCTGCTTTGTAAGAAGCATTTTGTTTAGGTAGCAACTTCAAGATTACTCTGCTGAGAGATCCAAGAGACCATGTTTTTTATTCTTAGGAAATGGGCGAGGAGGAGAATCTATTTACGGCGGATTTTTTGAAGGTAAAAATGTTTACATTTAAATTGTTTTTAATGTTTTCTGTTTTATTCACTTGATTTTTCATATACATGAAAACATATGTTTGAACAATAAGATTGTTCATTAAACTGCATACTAAGATCTGACTACTTTCAACTAATATGAGGGTTGATTTTCTTATGAAAAATTTTATGTGATAGATGTTTTCATATTTCCCATCTTTCACTTTAGGGAGTCGGTGAAGTTTTGTTTCATATTCCACTTGCTTTGTTCTCATTATAGTCCAAGATTTGAGGGCAAACTGCTGTCTTGAAATAAGTGATGCTGTGGCAGACATTAAATTAATGAATGCCTCTTTGAGCTTAGAATATTACACATGCCTTTTTGAGCTTAGAGGTGAAACAGGAATATGTAAAAAGAATCCTATCTGACTTCTTTCTCTTGCTTTTTTAGGAAAATTTCATTTTTTGTTTAAATAAGCAAAGAAACTGTTATCTTTTCCAAAAACATGTAATGGACAAACAAATGGAAAAGAAGAAAACAAAATAGTAATTTGTTTTTACAGCAAGAGATTGAAAAGTAGAAATAATGTAGTCTAAGAAGATGGAGGGAATTGCTTACTATTTGATTCTCTTCTTTTAACCTGATTTATCTTAATTTTGTCTGGCACTAAGGAGCAGATGCTATGAACACAAGATATGAAGAGAGCATATGAAGTTTTTTTGGAGGTCGTACTTAATAATGTAACCGAAAACTTTGCTTCTCTATAGATGAAAGTTTTGCTGTCAAACACAACAAAGAATTTCTTTTGTCAATGGCCAACAGAGGGAAGGATACAAATGGTTCACAATTCTTCATGTAAGTATTTATGGTCTGATCATTTAAAATATCCATTTTTTGGTGTGTCATTTCTCTGTGTGCCTGCCACTGATCACTAATAAAAAAAAAGAGAGATCCATAAAGGGGATTTCTTTACAATAGGAAGAAAAAAGAATTGATGAAAAGGGGAAAATTATTGAAAAGGGAGTTGACTTTACTCTTAAAGTTTTCAAATGATGAAGACTTGTCAAGATCACACAGAAGCCAGCTTGAAGGGCTGGGGTTCTCACTGTTCAAATTAAGACAATTACAGCATCAAAATTAATGACAGTATTAAATTGTTAAGTGAAATAGAAATCTAGGAGTCCATATAGATATAAATTATAAATGAATAAATAAAAGGAAGAAGGAAAAGCTGTTCCTTAATTGAATGTCAAGTAATAAACAGATGCATATGTATTTTCTTACTTTTCCTTTTTTTCTCATGTGATAGATAGTATATATAATATTTTGCTCTTTTCACTTAACAGTGAATCCTGGAAATTACTCCATATCAGTTCATAGAGATCTTTCTTATTCTTTTTTTCAGCTGCATAGTACTCTATTGTGTTTCTGTACTGTAGTTTATTCAATTACCTATATGTCTTGTCTTGTTTTTTTTTCAGTGAAAACAACTTAAATCACATTTGTTGTACAAAAATTAAAACACACAGATGAAAAAGAAGAAAATCACTCCCATTCTCAGAGCATCTTTCTATGCATTAAAAATGTAGGCAAAGTGTTAAATATTCACTATAATTAACTCTGTTAATTGTAAACAGAGTTTACAATTATATATTGTAAATCTCTGTACAACCATTAAATAGTACAACATTTTAATAACTTCATTTTAATCCACTGTTTGAATGCACTGTGCTTTGTTAATCTCATTTTTAAATATTTTGTTTGTCCCTTCTTTCAGACTGCTATAATGAACCTTATTGTACTTATTGTTTGATGCATTTTAAATTATTTTTTTATATAAGTTGCCAGAAATTAGTGAAATATTTACACATTTTTAGGTCTTCCTGTATATATTGCTGTACTGAATTCCCAAAAGGAAGTATAGTTTCTCTGCTGTCAGCAGTATGTATGTAAGATGCTCAGCAATACTGAATAGTATCATTTATTTTCCTTTTCTTTTTTTAAGTAAAATGTTTGTGCTAACCAAACCATATATGTTAAGTTCATACAGTCCTTCATGTATATTACCAGAATCTTTGCTATGTTGGTTTCTCTTTATTTCTTCTTTCTAGATCACCCTCATTTATTATGTGTTCTATTGTTTATTAAAGGAAACAGTTTCAGTTTTATTATCTTTTTAAAAAAATTCTTTTTATTGTGATAACATATATAAATTTTGCCATTTTAAGCATTTGTAAGTATACAATTCAGTGGTATGAATTACATTCACAGTGCTATGCGACTGTCACCACAATTTCCAAAGTTATTTTATCATCCCAGAAACTAACCATTTCTGCTTCCCCCCAGCCTCTGCACATTCTGTCTGTATGAATGTGCCTATTCCACATATAGAAGTGGAATCATATAATATTTTCCCTTTTGTGTCTGACTCATTTTGCTCAGCATGTTTTCAGGGCTTACCCATGCTGTAGCATGTATCAGAACTCCATTCCTTTTAATGACTGTCCTTCCATTGTAAGTACACAGCACATCTCATTTATCCTTATTCACCTCTTGGTGGATGTTTGGGTCGTTGCCACCTTGTAGGTGTTAGAAATCATACTCCGTTGTATATCAGCACACACATTTTCTTGAGATCGTGTTTTCAGTTTTTTGGGTGTATACCTAGGTGTAGAGTTGCTGGGTCATATGGTAAGCCTGTGGCTAGCTCTTAAGGAACCACCAAACTTTTCCACAGTGGTTGCATTATTTTGCATTCCTACCAGCACTGTACAGGAGCTCCAGTTTTTCCACTCCTCATCAGCACACTTTTTCACTAATGTGAGAATGATCATGAAAGCACTGATTAATAGTTTAGGAGTTACAAATAAAAAGTTGTACATATGGAATCTTTGAAGCAAGAATCAATTGTATCTAGATGCAAGTTACATAGACACACACACATTGAATGTAACATGTAATAAAAATGTACATAAGTACACTGGGTTTTTACATTTCTGGGTGTTTTTAGCAAGTTCAGAGCATAGTTGTTACAGTGAAAAAAATAGTGATAGATTACTGGTTTTAAAAGTAAGGTGAACTTTTATAAATAATGTACATGTTTGAATTTTTCATTAGGATTGTGGGTGCCTTAACCAAAGGTTCCTTCTTCCAAATTTCTAATGCCTTTTCTATTCAGATTTTTAAAAATCAATCTATGTACAAGTATGTCCTCACTACTAAAGTAGCAGCTTCTTAACTAGAAATCTTTATGATGTGGGAGGGGGAAAAATATTTTAAATTACTTTGTTTGCAAAAAAAAAAAAGACATTTTGCTTATTTTTGGTTTTGTCCAAAGTTTTAAACCAGATCTCTTTCTTCAATGTGAAGATTACTATATGTCAGGAGTAACAAACTCAGACACTTGTAGGTCTTAGGCAGATAAACTCTGTTGGGACAAGAGTCCCCGTATTAAAGAAGACCAGGGAATAGTCAGCCTGACCTATTATTGCCCATGCCAGGTGCCATATCTTCCAGGTTTCTAAAAAATCTGAAATCTGGATTTTTATGTAAAAGTATCCAAAATTTTAAATGTTAGCAGCTAATTAAAAATTTATAAGCATTATACAGACCATTTCTGTTCAGGTCCAGCAAATTGAAGACCTCATAATATAGTAATCCCCCCTTATCCACAGGGGATACATCAGGACCCCAGTGGATGCCTAAAACTGGATAATAGTATATATAGTATGTTTTCTCCTATACAAACATAGCTATGATAAAGTTTCATTTATAAATTAGGCATAGTAAGAGATTAACAAAACATAAAGTAGAATAATCATAACAATATACTATATTAAATTGATCTCTCAAATTATCTTACTGCTCTGTACCCACTGTTCTTCTTGATGATAAAAATCCTAAATGATGAGATGAAATAAATGAATGACATAGGCATTATGACATAGCATTAGGTTACCACTGTTGACCATCTAATGATAATGTCAGAAGGAGGATCTTCTGCTTCCAGACTGTGGGTACCTGAAATCATAGAAAGTAGAGCCACAGGTAAAGGGGGACTACTATTTGACCTGTATTTTAACTGTTTAAAATGTTAAGATTAAAAAGTACTAGTGTTAAACCAATAAACTGGGGGAATGGTATAAAGGATGATATGTCCATACAGTAGAACATTATACAACCATTAATGTGCAGTAAGAACCCCGTTACATGCAGGAAACATGGATGGGTAGAAGTAATACCACAATGTCAACTTAAATTACATGTAAGTTTTCAATAATAAGTAGGTATTACTCTTCAAATCAGAACAGATTTTTTAAAATTCATTATGTGTAAAGCATTTTACATTTTGTTCTACTTAAAGTTAATGTAGCAAGATTCTACTGTGTTAACGTTAATATGATTTCTTTGTTTGCAACCTTGTTTCCAATGCAGTTATTTTCTTTTCCTTTTTAGAGATGCTAACTTTATTTTTCTCTGACTTTGTTTTTATTTTAGGCCTGTAATTTTTGCTAAAAGACCTGCATAATCATTAGAATCTGAATATTCTTTTTTCCACATAATCGTGATAGGCTTTGTCACAATCTTAACTATTTTATCAAAAGAGAAGGGAAAGTAATTTAGGATCTTGTCAGTATTGACTTTAAAGTCTTTTATATATTTGCTCTGAACCTTTGAGTATTATTGATTCACAGTCATTCAAGCATCTGCTTTGTAAGAAGCATTTTGTTTAGGTAGCAACTTCAAGATTACTCTGCTGAGAGATCCAAGAGACCATGTTTTTTATTCTTAGGAAATGGGCGAGGAGGAGAATCTATTTACGGCGGATTTTTTGAAGGTAAAAATGTTTACATTTAAATTGTTTTTAATGTTTTCTGTTTTATTCACTTGATTTTTCATATACATGAAAACATATGTTTGAACAATAAGATTGTTCATTAAACTGCATACTAAGATCTGACTACTTTCAACTAATATGAGGGTTGATTTTCTTATGAAAAATTTTATGTGATAGATGTTTTCATATTTCCCATCTTTCACTTTAGGGAGTCGGTGAAGTTTTGTTTCATATTCCACTTGCTTTGTTCTCATTATAGTCCAAGATTTGAGGGCAAACTGCTGTCTTGAAATAAGTGATGCTGTGGCAGACATTAAATTAATGAATGCCTCTTTGAGCTTAGAATATTACACATGCCTTTTTGAGCTTAGAGGTGAAACAGGAATATGTAAAAAGAATCCTATCTGACTTCTTTCTCTTGCTTTTTTAGGAAAATTTCATTTTTTGTTTAAATAAGCAAAGAAACTGTTATCTTTTCCAAAAACATGTAATGGACAAACAAATGGAAAAGAAGAAAACAAAATAGTAATTTGTTTTTACAGCAAGAGATTGAAAAGTAGAAATAATGTAGTCTAAGAAGATGGAGGGAATTGCTTACTATTTGATTCTCTTCTTTTAACCTGATTTATCTTAATTTTGTCTGGCACTAAGGAGCAGATGCTATGAACACAAGATATGAAGAGAGCATATGAAGTTTTTTTGGAGGTCGTACTTAATAATGTAACCGAAAACTTTGCTTCTCTATAGATGAAAGTTTTGCTGTCAAACACAACAAAGAATTTCTTTTGTCAATGGCCAACAGAGGGAAGGATACAAATGGTTCACAATTCTTCATGTAAGTATTTATGGTCTGATCATTTAAAATATCCATTTTTTGGTGTGTCATTTCTCTGTGTGCCTGCCACTGATCACTAATAAAAAAAAAGAGAGATCCATAAAGGGGATTTCTTTACAATAGGAAGAAAAAAGAATTGATGAAAAGGGGAAAATTATTGAAAAGGGAGTTGACTTTACTCTTAAAGTTTTCAAATGATGAAGACTTGTCAAGATCACACAGAAGCCAGCTTGAAGGGCTGGGGTTCTCACTGTTCAAATTAAGACAATTACAGCATCAAAATTAATGACAGTATTAAATTGTTAAGTGAAATAGAAATCTAGGAGTCCATATAGATATAAATTATAAATGAATAAATAAAAGGAAGAAGGAAAAGCTGTTCCTTAATTGAATGTCAAGTAATAAACAGATGCATATGTATTTTCTTACTTTTCCTTTTTTTCTCATGTGATAGATAGTATATATAATATTTTGCTCTTTTCACTTAACAGTGAATCCTGGAAATTACTCCATATCAGTTCATAGAGATCTTTCTTATTCTTTTTTTCAGCTGCATAGTACTCTATTGTGTTTCTGTACTGTAGTTTATTCAATTACCTATATGTCTTGTCTTGTTTTTTTTTCAGTGAAAACAACTTAAATCACATTTGTTGTACAAAAATTAAAACACACAGATGAAAAAGAAGAAAATCACTCCCATTCTCAGAGCATCTTTCTATGCATTAAAAATGTAGGCAAAGTGTTAAATATTCACTATAATTAACTCTGTTAATTGTAAACAGAGTTTACAATTATATATTGTAAATCTCTGTACAACCATTAAATAGTACAACATTTTAATAACTTCATTTTAATCCACTGTTTGAATGCACTGTGCTTTGTTAATCTCATTTTTAAATATTTTGTTTGTCCCTTCTTTCAGACTGCTATAATGAACCTTATTGTACTTATTGTTTGATGCATTTTAAATTATTTTTTTATATAAGTTGCCAGAAATTAGTGAAATATTTACACATTTTTAGGTCTTCCTGTATATATTGCTGTACTGAATTCCCAAAAGGAAGTATAGTTTCTCTGCTGTCAGCAGTATGTATGTAAGATGCTCAGCAATACTGAATAGTATCATTTATTTTCCTTTTCTTTTTTTAAGTAAAATGTTTGTGCTAACCAAACCATATATGTTAAGTTCATACAGTCCTTCATGTATATTACCAGAATCTTTGCTATGTTGGTTTCTCTTTATTTCTTCTTTCTAGATCACCCTCATTTATTATGTGTTCTATTGTTTATTAAAGGAAACAGTTTCAGTTTTATTATCTTTTTAAAAAAATTCTTTTTATTGTGATAACATATATAAATTTTGCCATTTTAAGCATTTGTAAGTATACAATTCAGTGGTATGAATTACATTCACAGTGCTATGCGACTGTCACCACAATTTCCAAAGTTATTTTATCATCCCAGAAACTAACCATTTCTGCTTCCCCCCAGCCTCTGCACATTCTGTCTGTATGAATGTGCCTATTCCACATATAGAAGTGGAATCATATAATATTTTCCCTTTTGTGTCTGACTCATTTTGCTCAGCATGTTTTCAGGGCTTACCCATGCTGTAGCATGTATCAGAACTCCATTCCTTTTAATGACTGTCCTTCCATTGTAAGTACACAGCACATCTCATTTATCCTTATTCACCTCTTGGTGGATGTTTGGGTCGTTGCCACCTTGTAGGTGTTAGAAATCATACTCCGTTGTATATCAGCACACACATTTTCTTGAGATCGTGTTTTCAGTTTTTTGGGTGTATACCTAGGTGTAGAGTTGCTGGGTCATATGGTAAGCCTGTGGCTAGCTCTTAAGGAACCACCAAACTTTTCCACAGTGGTTGCATTATTTTGCATTCCTACCAGCACTGTACAGGAGCTCCAGTTTTTCCACTCCTCATCAGCACACTTTTTCACTAATGTGAGAATGATCATGAAAGCACTGATTAATAGTTTAGGAGTTACAAATAAAAAGTTGTACATATGGAATCTTTGAAGCAAGAATCAATTGTATCTAGATGCAAGTTACATAGACACACACACATTGAATGTAACATGTAATAAAAATGTACATAAGTACACTGGGTTTTTACATTTCTGGGTGTTTTTAGCAAGTTCAGAGCATAGTTGTTACAGTGAAAAAAATAGTGATAGATTACTGGTTTTAAAAGTAAGGTGAACTTTTATAAATAATGTACATGTTTGAATTTTTCATTAGGATTGTGGGTGCCTTAACCAAAGGTTCCTTCTTCCAAATTTCTAATGCCTTTTCTATTCAGATTTTTAAAAATCAATCTATGTACAAGTATGTCCTCACTACTAAAGTAGCAGCTTCTTAACTAGAAATCTTTATGATGTGGGAGGGGGAAAAATATTTTAAATTACTTTGTTTGCAAAAAAAAAAAAGACATTTTGCTTATTTTTGGTTTTGTCCAAAGTTTTAAACCAGATCTCTTTCTTCAATGTGAAGATTACTATATGTCAGGAGTAACAAACTCAGACACTTGTAGGTCTTAGGCAGATAAACTCTGTTGGGACAAGAGTCCCCGTATTAAAGAAGACCAGGGAATAGTCAGCCTGACCTATTATTGCCCATGCCAGGTGCCATATCTTCCAGGTTTCTAAAAAATCTGAAATCTGGATTTTTATGTAAAAGTATCCAAAATTTTAAATGTTAGCAGCTAATTAAAAATTTATAAGCATTATACAGACCATTTCTGTTCAGGTCCAGCAAATTGAAGACCTCATAATATAGTAATCCCCCCTTATCCACAGGGGATACATCAGGACCCCAGTGGATGCCTAAAACTGGATAATAGTATATATAGTATGTTTTCTCCTATACAAACATAGCTATGATAAAGTTTCATTTATAAATTAGGCATAGTAAGAGATTAACAAAACATAAAGTAGAATAATCATAACAATATACTATATTAAATTGATCTCTCAAATTATCTTACTGCTCTGTACCCACTGTTCTTCTTGATGATAAAAATCCTAAATGATGAGATGAAATAAATGAATGACATAGGCATTATGACATAGCATTAGGTTACCACTGTTGACCATCTAATGATAATGTCAGAAGGAGGATCTTCTGCTTCCAGACTGTGGGTACCTGAAATCATAGAAAGTAGAGCCACAGGTAAAGGGGGACTACTATTTGACCTGTATTTTAACTGTTTAAAATGTTAAGATTAAAAAGTACTAGTGTTAAACCAATAAACTGGGGGAATGGTATAAAGGATGATATGTCCATACAGTAGAACATTATACAACCATTAATGTGCAGTAAGAACCCCGTTACATGCAGGAAACATGGATGGGTAGAAGTAATACCACAATGTCAACTTAAATTACATGTAAGTTTTCAATAATAAGTAGGTATTACTCTTCAAATCAGAACAGATTTTTTAAAATTCATTATGTGTAAAGCATTTTACATTTTGTTCTACTTAAAGTTAATGTAGCAAGATTCTACTGTGTTAACGTTAATATGATTTCTTTGTTTGCAACCTTGTTTCCAATGCAGTTATTTTCTTTTCCTTTTTAGAGATGCTAACTTTATTTTTCTCTGACTTTGTTTTTATTCTTCTATCTGACGACTTCCAAAGAACAACGAAACCAACTCCTCATTTAGATGGGTAAAAATCATTTTAACTTATTTTATGACCTAGTTTAAATTACATTAAAATAAGCTTTTATTTAATCATCTTTACTTGGCTCTTTAGCCATCATGTTGTTTTTGGTCAAGTGATTTCCGGTCAAGAAGTTGTAAGAGAGATAGAAAACCAGAAAACAGACGCAGCTAGCAAACCATTTGCTGAGGTGCGGATACTCAGTTGTGGAGAGCTAATTCCCAAATCTAAAGGTAAGAACACATGCATATTTCTGATAATTCTTACACATACAAAATGAGCAGAGACTCTAAAAATAGTTGGCGTGAAATTCAACTAAAATGAATATAAATGCAAGGTTTTTCTGTTTTAAAATATAAAATACATATAATTTTTTAACGTGTTTTATCTTCGTGCTTTGTTGTTTTACCACAGAACTGCTTGACTTTTCCTTGTTATTAATTTGCAGTAATTTACTCTTCTCCTTCTTTGTTTCTTGGGTTTTTTAAAAACTAGTTGTCCAAATATCATGGTAAGTAAATACCATTTCTCTAGGGAAGGGGACAGTGGGGAGGATGGTAATCGAAGAGAATAACATAGACTAAGAAACTTTAAGAGAATGCATTATTTCCCCGTCATGCACTGTTTAGATTCAGGAGCATCTTGCTTATTTGAGAAACTTCTCTTACTTAGACATGTGAAGTTAACATGACTAGTAGTTTCATGTGATATTATCTGAATGGTAATAACTTTGTTTTAAGTAAATATTTATATTATATATGAAATATGTAAATAATACCATTTATTACAGATATCAGGCCTGACACTCTAAAAGTAATGGGGTGAGATTACCTTCAAACCTGTGTAGAAAGCAATCAAATATTAAACTGAGCCTATCTTTCTGTTCTTGACTAATCTAAGGAATAGTTAATATCAGTACTAAGTTTTTCATGGTTAACAAATGTGAAAACCATTTATAATCTTTTCGGATCCTCACAATAACCCTATAATATGATTTTCTCCATTTTACTACATCAAGGAGATTTACTACATAATGATAATCAAGGAGATTTACTACATCAGGGAACTAGGCCTCAAACTCAGGTTTGCCAGATTTAAATATAGAGCTTTTTCCATTATGTATTGCTAACTCATTAAAGTCTTTAACATTCCTTTCAGTATTACCTTAAGTAGAACATTCTATTCTCAAGTTTAGGTATGCTGATTTGCTCTGTATCATTTAGAAAAATGCACAGTTTGTTTCTGCATTCGTCTATAATTCTTATGATTTCATTTCATTCTCTGTCATGCTGCAGCTCATAATGAGACTGTTTACATAATTTCTTGGTGTTCACAAGTCTGGCTATCTATCCTTATTTACAAACAGAAGGTATAGTGTATGTCTTATGTGGAGTTCCTGTAAAAAGTGAGGTGTTGAATCTTTTGCATTAAAAAAACAAACTAAAAAGTAGTCTATATTAATGATTGTAAGTTGTAGACCCTGAACCTACTGATATATATATATATATTTTTTTTTTTGTATCATTAATCTACAATTACATGAGGAACATTATGTTTACTAGGCTCCCCCCTTGGCCAAGGCCACCCCACAAACCCCATTACAGTCACTGTCCATCAGTGTAGTAAGATGCTGTAGAGTCACTACTTGTCTTCTCTGTGTTGCACAGCCCTCCCCGTGCCTCCATCCCCATTATACATGCTAATCGTAATGCCTCCTTTCTTTTCCCCCCACCCTGTCCTTCCCTTCCCACCCATCCTCCCCAGTCCCTTTACCTTTGGTAACTGTTAGTCCATTCTTGGGTTCTGTGAGTCTGCTGCTGTTTAGTTCCTTCAGTTTTTTCTTTGTTCTTATACTCCACAGATGAGTGAAATCATTTGGTACTTGTCTGTCTCCACCTGGCTTATTTCACTGAGCATAATAGCCTCTAGCTCCATCCATGTTGTTGCAAATGGTAGGATTTGTTTTCTTCTTATGACTGAAAAATATTCCGTTGTGTATATGTACCACATCTTCTGGACACTTAGGTTGCTTCCATTTCTTGGCTATTGTAAATAGTGCAGCAATAAACATAGGGGTGCAACTGTCTTTTTCAAACTGTGCTGCTGTATTCTTAGGGTAAATTCCTAGAAGTGGAATTCCTGGGTTAAATGGTATTTCTATTTTTAGCTTTTTGAGGAACCTCCATATTGCTTTCCACAATGGTTGAACCAATTTACATTCCCATCAGCAGTGTAGGAGGTGAACCTACTGATATTTAATTCTTCAGAGTGGTGTCAGGATAATTGGAATATTTTGGTTTAAGACATTATCTCTTCCCACATAATCTAGGAAATCTTGTCGTTTATTCTCTACCTAATAACTAGTTTTTTGTCTTGTATTTTGTAGTCTTTAAGATCTCTTGTATTAAGATCTATTCTCTGCTTATAAAAGTTAAGGATGCTGTGTAGCTTACATATTTTTTAAAAGATAGAGGTAGTAAAAAAAAGCTTACATTTTAAACCGTAAGCAATTATCATAGAGTCTCTCTTGAATTTGGTATAAAGATTCTTTTGGTACTAAATGGTTAGTGCTTGAATATTAATAGAAGGGATGAGAAACTGAATGAATGGCACTCTTTATTTATTATTATTTATGTCTTTATAATATGTTTTCACTGAAGAGGTAAATGCTAATTTTGCCCCTGCCGTAGTGGCCCGGAAGTTGTGCTGACAAGTGATGGGGCGTTCTAGAGCATGTTCCTCAAAGTTGTGCTATGGAAACATATCTTGCCCTTACCAACATATCTTGCCCTTACCAGTTTCAGCAGTTAAGGAGATTTGGCCCTTTATTAGTACCTAGGAGCTCCCAAAATGATCAGATTTGTTTCTAGCAGGATCTCCCCTGCCTACTGTATTCTGGATCATACTGCAGAAAGAGGATCCACAACATATCCTTATATTAGAGATCACACAGTTTGGCATCTGTTACAGTACAGGCCTTCAATTAGCACTCAGAACATTAGTCAAAATGGACTTTTTCGTGCACCTATATATTCTTTTTTAGGCAGAGCTGTGTCTTATATCCAGTTAATAAATTTAATTGCCTTCTTACAGTTTTTAATTGGGAACAGTCAAAACACTTTCTACAACACTGTGGTGTTCATCCTCATCATATTTAAAACCTTGTTTGAGAGAGTTACACACGAGTTTAAAAAGTAAATAAATACGGAATCTTTTTTTCTTTTTCTAACTTCCTGAAAGAAAACAAAAGACCTCTGAAGAATTCTGACTGTCCGGGCCCACCTGTATATATATGGTCTTGGTGAGTCTGGACAATCTTCTTGGGCTTTTCTCCCTTTGCTGTTAAAAGATAGGAAATTCTGCTTTTTGTGGCTATTTGAGCCTGAGAAGATTGATAGTCAAGAATAACCTTCCAACAGATGCAGAGCTATAATACTGGAGGCTGTCAGAGGGCATAGTGAAAGATAGAACACAGACCACCAGAGAATGAAACCACTGCCCTGATTAAGGAACTTACCAGATTTTTTTTTTTTGCATGACTTCTGTCATACTGGTCTCGGTTAGAGAGGTCTGTTCACCTTGCTTGGTCATGCAACAAGAGATGGGGCCATTGTTATAGAGTATACAGAAACACGAATGCTGACTTGTGGCAAAATGGCAATAAACAAACAGTTATATGAGCAGAAATTTTGTGTGTGTTTGGTAGGAAGCAGATTACCTGGCAATACAGAAAGAAGAGCACAATAGAGGAACTAACTGGTGAGTTTCATACTCAGGAAACAGTGAAAAAGAACACCGCAGATTCATTTCAGGATACCATTTTACTGTCCTTATTCTGGAATTAAAAGCTGTGGTAATGGCACTTTTACTGGAAAACAGAGGGTGTTGAACTTAAACTGTTTAGGAAACTAGTAATATGAAATGAAAATATCTAAAGGGGACCTATTTGAGGACTAGTTACATTCTTTATTTCAAGTCTTATATTCATGATGGCCTAGAAATTTTCTTCACTATAAAGGTTTCACATGAAATTCATTGGTATAAAATCTATAAATTTCAAATAAAAAGCAGCAAGACAGCATTATCTTAAACTTAAGTTTTTACAAGTAAAATGTTCTGGAGTTTGTTTTTAACTTTAACATCATACTAATAAACTCAATACCTAACTAATAGGCTTATACCACATCCTTCCTCACCTCCCAAAAAGGTCAATGAACATAAGGGGAATTCTTTTACACGGTGATAAGTAAACTACATAATCTAAAATAAACAGGAATGGCCCAAGAGTTGAAAGTGTTGCTCTTTATAATTCATTTTGATTCTTAATATGCACTATGGTCTTGCTTTTAGTACTGTATCTTTTTTATTATTATTATTAAGGTATCACTGATACACACTCCTCTGAAGGTTTCACATGAAAAACATTGTGGTTACTACATTCACCCAGATTTTCAGCACCCACCCCCATACCACACTGAAACCACTGTCCAACACTGTAGTAAGATGCTACAGAGTCACAACTTGTCTTCTCTGTGTTACCCTGTCTTCCCCGTGACCCCCTCCACACACACTAGGTGTACCAATCATAATACCCCTCAATCCCCTTCTCCCCCACTGCCCACCCACCCTTCCCCACCCCTCCTCTTCGGTAACCAGTACTCCCTTTTTGGACTCTGAGTCTACTGCTGTTTTGTTCCTTCAGTTTTGCATCGTTGTTACACTCCACAAATGATGGAAATCATTTGGTTCTTGTCTTTCTCTGCCTGGCTTGTTTCACTGACCATAATACCCTGTAGCTCCATCCATGTTGCAAATGGTAGGATCTTTTTTCTTTTTATGGCTGAATAATAATGCATTGTGTATATGTACCACCTCTTCATTATCCATTCATTTACTGATGGACACTTAGGTTGCTTCCATTTCTTGGCTATTGTAAATAGTGCTGCAGTAAACATAGGGGTGCATATGTCTTTTTGAATCTGAGCCGTTGTTTTCTTTGGATAAATTCCTCGGAGTGGAATTCCCAGGTCAAATGGCATTTCTATTTTTAGCTTTTTGAGGAACCTCCATATTGCTTTCCACAATGGTTGAACTAATTTACAATCGTACTAGCAGTGTCTGAGGATTCCCCTTTCTCCAAATCCTGCCCAGCATGTGTTGTTCCTTGTCTTTTGGATATTGGCTATCCTAAATGGTGTGAAGTGATATCTCATTCTGAATTTTTTTTTTAGTAAGGATTGATATACACTATTATGAAGGTTTCATAAGAAAAACAATGTGATTACTACCCTTATTATAGAATCCTCCCCCACACCCCATTGCAGTCAATGTCCATCAGTGTGGTAAGATGCCACAGAGTCCCTGCTTGTCTTCTCTGTGCTACACTGTCTTCCCCGTGATCCAGCACACCATGTGCACCAATCATGATACCCCACAATCCCCTTCTCCCTCCCTCCCCACTCATCCTCCCGTACCCCTCCCCTTTGGAAACCACTACTCCCTTTTTGGAGTCTGTGAGTATGCTGCTATTTTGTTTCTTCAGTTTTACTTCGTTATACTCCACAAATGAGGGAAATCATTTGGTATTTGTCTTTCTCTGCCTGATTTATTTCACTTAGCATCATACTTTCTGACTCAATCCATGTTGTTGCAAATGGTAGGATTTGTTTCTTTCTTATGGCCGAATAGTATTCTTTATCCATTCATCATCTTTATCCATTCATCTACTGATGGACACGTAGTTTGCTTCCATATCTTGGCTATTGTAAATAGTGCAGCAATAAGCATAGGGGTGCATGTGTCTTTTTGAATCTGATAACTTGTTTTCTTTGGGTAAATTCCTAGGAGTGGAATTCCTGGGTCAAATGGTATTTCTATTTTGAGTGTTTTGAGGAACCTCCATATTGCTTTCCACAATGGTTGAACTAGTTTACATTCCCACCAGCAGTGTAGGAGGGTTCCCCTTTCTTTGCATCCTGGCCAGCATTTGTTCCTAGTCTTTTCGATGTTGGCCGTCCTAACTGCTGTGAGGTGATATCTCACTGTGGTTTTAATTTGCATATCCCTGATAATTAGCGATGTGGAGAATCTTTTCATGTACCTGTTGGCCATCTGAATTTCTTCTTTGGAGAAGTGTCTGTTCAGATCCTCTGCCCATTTTTTAATAAAGTTGTCTGCCTTTTGGGTGTTGAGGTGTGTGAGTTCTGTATTTTCAATGTTAACCCCCTGCTGGATATGTCATTTACAGATATATTCTTACATACTATAGGATGCCTTTTTGTTCTACTGATGGTGTCCTTTGCTGTACAGATGCTTTTTAGCTTGATGCAGTCCATTTGTTCACTTTTGCTTTTGTTTTCCTTGCCCGAGGAGATGCGTTCAGGAAAAGTTGCTCCCATTTATATTCAAGAGATTTTTGCCTATGTTTTCTTCTAAGAGTTTTATTGTTTAATGACTTACATTCAGGTCATTGATCCATTTTGAGCTTACTTTTGTCTACAGAGTTAGACAATATTCCAGTTTCATTCTCTTACATGTAGCTGTTCAGTTTTACCAACACCAGTTGTTGAAGAGGCTGTTGTTTCCCATTGTAAATCCATGGCTCCTTTATCGTATATTAATTGATCATATATGTTTGGGTTAATGTCTGGCATCTCTGTTTTGTTCCACTGGTCTGTGGCCCTGTTCTTGTGCCAGGACCAAATTGTCTTGATTATTGTGACTTTGTAGTAGAGCTTGAAGTCGGGGATTGTAGTTCCCCCCACTTTATTCTTCCTTCCCACAATTGCTTCAGCTATTCAGAGTCTTATGTGGTTGCATATGAACTTTACAATTATTTGCTCTAGTTAGTTGAAGAATGCCATTGGTATTTTGATAGGGATTGCATTGAATGTGTAGATTGCCTCAGGCCGGATGGCCATTTTGATAATATTCTTCCTGTCCATGAGCACAGGATGTGTTTCCATTTATTGGTATCTTCTTTAATTTCTCTCATGAGTGTCTTGTAGTTTTCAGAGTATAAGTCTTTCACTTCCTTGGTTAGGTTTATTCCTAGGTATTTTATTCTTTTTGATGCAATTGTGAATGGAATTGTTTTTCTGATTTCTCTCTCTGCTAGTTCATCGTTAGTGTATAGGAATGCAACAGATTTCTGTGTACTAATTTTGTATCCCGTGACTTTGCTGACTTCAGATATTAGATCTAGTGGTTTTGGAGTGGATTCTTTAGGATTTTTTGTGTACAGTATCATGTCATCTTCAAACAGGGCAGTTTAACTTCTTCCTAGCCAATCTAGTGCCTTTTATCTCTTTGTGTTGTCTGATTGCCATGGCTAGGATTTCCAGCACTGTGTTGAATAAACGTGGGGAGAGTGGGCATCCTTATCTTATTCCCGATCTTAAACGAAAGGCTTTCAGTTCCTCCCTGTTAAGTATAATTGATGTTGGCTGTGGGTTTGTCATATATGGCCTTTATTATGTTGAGGTACTTGCCCTTTATACCCATTTTGTTGAGAGTTTTTATCATGAATGGATGTTGAATTTTGTCGAATGCTTTTTCAGCATCTATGGAATGATCATGTGGTTTTTGTTCTTCTTTTTGTTGATGTAGTAGATGATGTTGAAGGATTTTCAAATGTTGTACCATCCTTGCATCCCTGCAATGAATTCCAGTTTCTTAATCTTTTGAGCCTTCATAGCACATCTCCAGGAGGTCTGCATTTGACCCTTTTAGTTGTAAATTTGCTCTTCAACTAAAGCTAAATTTGTTGGAGGAATGCTCAGGCACTGAAACATAAGCCCAGGCAATGGAATTGTTTATCTTTCCAGATGCATGCAAAGTATTTTTCTGTTTTTTTCTTCTGCAGTTGTATCTTCAATCTGGTAAAAAGAGAAAAAAGTCAAAAAATACAAGATTAAAATGTGGGACTCTTAAGTGTTACTTTTGTGCTTTTTTAAAACTAAGTGTTTTAGACTTACCACTTTTCCAAAAATTTTTTACTTAATAGATGTAACTGTGTCCCATGAACACAGAGATTTTTATTTTAATACTGACTCTTGACTCCTTTCCTGTATGCCTCAGTTCAAATAGCTAGATGAGCTAAGTGTCAAATACTGGGCTTACAAGAACTGCAGAAAATCTAAATATCCACTTTGAAAGTTTGTCTGAAAGGTGTTGAACAAAACTTTTTTGTTTTTTATTAAAGCTAAGAAGGAAGAGAAGAAAAGGCATAAATCATCATCTTCCTCATCATCCAGTGACTCAGATAGCTCCAGTGATTCTCAGTCCTCTTCTGATTCTTCTGATTCTGATAGTGCTTCTGAAGAGAAATCAAAAAAAAGAAAAAAGAAACATAGGAAAAATTCCCGAAAACACAAGAAAGAAAAGAAGAAGCGAAAGAAAAACAAGAAAAGGTCTCAATTTTATTTTCACAGTACTAGCTGTATACTCCAGTTCCCTTCTATTTATAAACAAATCTACTGGGATTCTGGATCAATAATATGGGAACATCAAAATAGAAATCTTTCAAAGCATGAAGTATAAGACCATTTTGATATTCTGCAGTCTTTAGATTAAATTTGGGTACACATTTCGTTTTCAGCAAAATCATTCATTTTGTGTAAACTCAAATGAAATGATGCTTTTGGTTTTATGACTTTGTATTTTATGGGTGGAACATAGCATTAGTGAAAATTATAGGGAACCGACCATCATTTATCTTGTTCTCTTGCTTTTTTGTCCTTTATTTCCTTTGCCTCATATGATAGCAAAAGGATGGAAAGCAGATTTCAGCGTATTTACTGTCTTCATCATTTTGTTTGAAATAATCTGTGTTTGTACTAAAACTTCCTTTTTATGCCTATTGCTTCTAATATTAGCTAATTGCTTTATGTACATGTTAAAGTAGTTTACATGTATCAGAGGACATTGCCCGTAGAGTTTCATTTTGATCCATTTTATTGGAAAATAGTTTTTGAGAATGTGATAACAGAGACCTTTGATTTTCATTTTTGGTTTAGTTAGTTGGTTTGCCAGGGGAATGAAGGAAGATTTCCACATGTAATTGCATCATGGGTAGCGGGAACAGGGTGGTGTATATATAATGTGATATCTTACAAAGGAAGGAAATACCAGCTGTTGGGAATTTGGAGTAGGTGTATAATGACCAAATGGAACTTGTTTTGTGTGTCTCTATTAAGCGCATCTAGTGAAAGTGAGGCTGAAAATCTTGAAGCACAACCCCAGTCTACTGTCCGTCCGGAAGAGATCCCTCCTATACCTGAAAATAGATTCCTAATGAGAAAAAGTCCTCCTAAAGCTGATGAAAAAGAAAGAAAAAACAGAGAGAGAGAGAGAGAGAGAGAGTGGTATGTGAATGTGTATATCTTGTAGAGTACCCTACACTCTTTACCAAAGAGGTTTTTTTTTTAAGTCTTTTCTTTAGACAAGATTTAAATGGTAACCTTGTCCCAAGATTGAAATGTTTTTTTTACAAGCTAACATTAGCAAAGCTCTTTTTTACTAACTATGTAGCGAAGAAGATAACCTGACTTAATTCAAACAGACTTTGAGTAAAAGTTACTTTAAAAACTGCAAGTGTCAAGAAGATAAATTGTAGCATTATAAACCAGTTTCTTTTAAAACAAGATAAGTATTTTATTGTTATTTTATACAAGCAAGGAAGAACCTTTATTTTTCAATTTGCATAATAGGGAGAAAATGCTGTTTTCCTTGCCTGATTTAGAATATTGTATTGAAAATTGTTATAATGTTAAAGTACTTTGAACATTTTTCTATATAAATCCACACTATTACTAGTCTGTTGGTTCTTGATGAATTATTTTAATTATGTCCAAAAAAAGAAAGACTGAAGTCTTTTTCTATTTTATGTTCAATAATATAGCATAAAAATAAATAAATTCTGAGCAGTACCTCTAGTTTCACATTATAGTAGAAATAAAAAAAATAAGTTGTAGTAATTTGAAACTTGGAGTAATTTTGAGGAATTAGTTTGGGTTCGTTTTAACTCAGTTAGGAAAGGATGTTTCTAAAGAAATAATTATTAGGAAATGTTTGAACATCTTTACAATGAACTTTCAAAAAATAACTTAAATGGATATTGTTAGTGCTAATTAAATATTAATTCATTGTTATTTGAAAATTAATAGTTTCCCTTTTTAGTATAAACTATCATATAGACATTTTGATCATTCAGACCAGCATATCTTTGTTTAATTCTCATTAATTACACTTCTCTATAGTTTTATTACCAATACAGCTGCTTATAGTATATTAAGGTACTTTGGAATAAGATAGCTCTAAAATTGTTCTCTCAGAAGCATATAGCCTACACTGAGCTCTTCTATGTAGATTTTCCTTAGCACTATCAGATTAACTTCATTTTAGTAGTGATCATATAACCGTGTTTCTCAACAGAACACATTTGGTGTTAGGACAGACTAGCTCTTCATCTTCACACATTTCAAGATTTTAGCATTCCTGCCTCTTGGGCACTTAAGTATCAGTAGCACCATTTAGTCATTGGCAGTTGAAAAAAATGCTTCCATACTTTTCCAGATACCAAGTAGGAATTGTTAATATTCCTGGTTAAGAACCATTGATTATATATAATATTTAAAATTTATTACTTAGACCAGTAACACTATATTTATATTCTCCAGATTCATTTATATAAAATAATGTGTTTAATTTGACCTTTGCTTCCTTATAGTAATCCACCTAACTCCCAGCCTACTTCGTACCAGAGGCGACTTTTAGTTACTAGGTCTGGCAGGAAAATCAAAGGAAGAGGACCAAGGGTAGGTGATTATTTTCCCAGAAAACTTAATAGTATTACATTTATGTTAAATAATTTTAGAGGGTTTCTTAACTATTGTTTAACACAAAAGTAACTAAAATTTAAAGTAGATGTGAATATTGAATTATATGTTCTTTTTTATAGTAATTTATTTGTGTTGGTACTTCTAAAAAACATATGCATCAGATGTTAATGGATTTTGTACATGGTGTAAAATGATATTGAGGTCTTCTTGTTTCCCCTTTTTAGTTCCTGTCCACTGTATTTCTTGTTAAAAATTAATAAAAATTAACCCTATTCTTATATTTCATCCCCTTTCCCTCTGGTGTACTCTCCATATTTCACAGCCATCTCATTGCCTAGAAGGCATCTCAAACTCAGCATATGTGATGTTGAACATAAGCACTTCCTCTTCAGACCTGGCCTCCTTTAGATTCCTGGTCTCAGTGACAGAAACTGTCACTTACGTAGTTTCTTAAACTGGATTCCCAAGAATCATTTTGTCTCTGCTGTTTCTTTCCTACCTTATGCATCTTACCATCATCAAATTCTGTCAGTTCAACCTCCTAAATAATACTCTGGAATCCATCTGCTTTTCTCATGCTTCACTCCTGACATCTTTGTATATTCTCTGAACTGTTAAGTATTTTTTTTAACTGTTCTCATGGTAGTTCTCAAACTTTTGGCTTAGGACCTCTTTACACTCTGAAAAATTATTGAGAATCCAAAGGTGCTTTTGTTGATTTGGCTATCAATATTTATTCTTTTAGAAATTAAAACCAAGAAATATTTAAAGCATAAGAGTACATGGGCATATATTCCATTAGCTAGGAAAGCAAAGACATCAAAACATGTTGTCTTTGAAAAACTCTACAATAATGAGAGAATGAAAGTGAGAAAAGGAAATAACACGATACTATGAAAACAGTTCTGACCTCATGGATTCTGAGTCTTAGGATCCCTAGGCCACACGTTGAGAATCACTGATCTAATCCTTTCTCCAGACAGTATCCAGAATGGTCTTTTAAAAATGAAAATCTGATTATGTCACTCCTTTGCAGTGCATCTTAAGATAAACCCAAAATTGTTAACTATGGCCTACAAGACCTCATGAGATATGGTTCTTGCTTACCTCGTGAATATTATTTAACACTACTCTCCCTTGCAGTTTTTATCTTTAGCCATACTGATCTGTCTTATCATTTCTGAAACATTCTGTTTCTTCTTGTCTTAGGACCTTAAAACATAGTATTTATTATGCTTCATTTGCTCTCCTCACCGTTTTACCTCTTTTTCCTCACTCTTGCCTAGGTAGCTCCTCAGACATATTTTTAAGTTCTCAGTTTTTAATTATCATTTAACTATTCATACCCTTCCCTATGCTAGGTCACATCTCTTTGTTGTATATTTTCTGAGCACCTTTTTCTTCTCTTCTTACACTCATTCTGTTTGTAGCGGCATGTATGTTTAATATCTGTGATTATATGACTATTTGTGCATTCTCCTAGCCTTGTAGAATATAAATTCTAAAAGAGCAAATTCAAATATGTCTTAGCTTACTAATGTTTCCTCATTATGTCACAGAGTGGTTGGCCATCCAAAGAACTGAGTAATTATTGGTTGAATAAATATCTCCCAATTTACTCAGTTTTTCTGAGTGTATGGGAAATGTTTGCTTGAAACATTAAGAATACATACTGCAGATTGGCACTTGGCAATTTGTAAGGGTTCCTACACCTGTTATGCTCTAACTTCACTTAAACAGGGCAGTTCATGAAGAAGACATGGGTGGCTAGAATTTCTGTGGTTAATACTTATTTTGAATTTATAGCATGCCTATTTAAAGTATTTCTGTCTCATTGATTTTGTACCTGAAAATTTGGAAATTTTAGTTATTTTAGAGGGCATAGGAATATTAGAAATTTTATTTGAACCTAGAACTATATATACGTCAGCTATTACTATAATGCTTTTATGTTTTTATATGTTAATTTTTTTTCTTTTTGTTTTCTTAAGCGCTATCGAACTCCTTCTAGGTCCAGATCAAGGGATCGTTTCAGACGTAGTGAGACTCCTCCACATTGGAGGCAAGAGATGCAGAGAGCTCAAAGAATGAGGGTGTCAAGTGGTGAAAGATGGATCAAAGGGGATAAGTAAGATTTAAACTATATATCCTTTCAAATGTGTGTTCTAGTATTTTAGCATTTTACATGAAGTTATTTATAGGCATTTCAGTTGTTTCTGTAAGTCTTAAAAAAAATAGAATCATTTTAGCTAATAGTGCCCACATTCTCTTCCTAATAAAAGACTTTTTCCCTCTTGTTTTTTAGGAGTGAGTTAAATGAAATAAAAGAAAATCAAAGAAGCCCAGTTAGAGTAAAAGAGAAAAAAATACCTGATCACAGGCATGTGTCGGAGAGTCCAAACAGGAAAAGTGAAAAGGAAAGGAAAGTTAGGGACCATGAATCTAACAGCAAAGAGAGAGACATCAGGAGAAATTCAGAGAAAGATGATAAATATAATAAAAACAAGGTGAAGAAAAGGGCCAAATCCAAAAGTAGGAGTAAGAGCAAGGAGAAATCAAAGAGTAAAGAGAGAGATACAAAGCATAGTAGACATGAAGAAAGGAGGGTGAGGTCGAGGAGTAAGGAAAGGGATCATGAGAATGTTAAAGAAAAAGAAAAGTCTGATTCTAAAGGAAAAGATCAGGAAAGGAGTAGAAGTAAAGAGAAGTCTAAGCAGTTAGACACAAAAGGTAATGAACATGATCGTAATAAAAGTAAGGAAAAGGACAGATATGCACAGTCTAGGAGTAGAGAACGGGATATAGCGAAAGGCAAGCACAGTTATAACAGCAGAACAAGGGAACGGAGCAGAAGTAGGGACAGGGGCAGAAGAGCACGATCCAGAAGCCATGACCGAGATAGAAGCAGAAGCAAGGAGTACTATAGATACAGAGAACAGGAATACAGGAGAAGGGGAAGGTCACGAAGCCGAGAGAGAAGAGCCACCCCAGGAAGATCCAGAAGTAAAGACGGGAAGAGGAGGAGGAGAGATTCGCGGAGCTCAGAAAGAGAAGAAAGTCAAAGCAGAAATAAAGAGAAATATAGAAACCAAGAAAGTAAGAGTTCACACAGAAAAGAAAATTCTGAGGGTGAGAAGAGAATGTACTCTAAAAATCGTGATCATAGTAGCTCAACTAGTAACAGGGAAAAAAAAGGTGATAGAGATCAAAGTCCATTCTCAAAAACAAAACAAAGTAGTCAGGACAATGAATTAAAGTTCTCTACATGGAAAAATAAGGAGGATGAGAAGACCAGATCCTCAGTGGAAAAAGAAAACCAGAAATCAAAGGGTCAAGAAAATGACCACATACATGATAAAAATAAAAAATTCAATCATGAATCAAGTCCTGGAACAGATGAAGACAAAAGTGGATGAGCGAGTCACATGAGCTTCTCTCGGTGTCTCAGATTTTAAGTTTTAGAGACTTGCTGATGAATCTCCTCTATGTTGTTTTCCTCTCTCTATTGTTTTTGGGTTGTTTTATGTTCTTTTTCTTTTTTTTTTAATGTGGACTTTATTGAGTTGATCTTTTGATAATCTGCAACCTGGATAATTTGTACTGCTAAAGTTTTAATAAACTTGAAATGAGAAAAACACTTTGGTGTAATACTGTGTGCTGTGTTTAACTACTTCATGTATGCATTTTTTGTGTTGCAACAATCAGCCAATGGCAAACATGCTGTTCTACACCCTAGTTTGTTTGATCAGCCAGTTGGACACAAGCATAACTGATTGTTGGAATACATTGTTAAAAAAGCTTGTGTTTCTCATAATTAAAGTAACTTTAGCAGCTCCTAGGTAGAAGAAATCTTGTGTAGATTTTCTCATTGTATTTATAATAGAGGCTTGCTGTAACAACTTAATTACACAGAAGCAGAACCCTAATAACTTGAAATCTTAAGTCATCATTTTTGATTTTATAGTAATTTGTGCTTTAAGATAGATAATATTTAGTAATTATTGTACTTCGTATGTTACTCTTTACAGTTTCATCTGTAGCTTGTTTCATATTAATATTTTTCCTGTCTAAACTGCCTTCAAAAATAGTTGTTTTCTTTTCACTTGATGTTCTGATTGAGCTTGACTTGCTGTTAGACAGCAGCATCTAGCAAGAACTATACCTTGAAAGATCAGATTGTAATTCTCAATTCTGTGTGCTTTTGGTCTGAAAAGATGAAACTTTTGCTTTTGGGGAACACTTTTTATTACTATTATTGTTACCCTTCTTTAAAATGAAAAAAGTACATTTCTTACTAAAACTTACCACTTGTGCAGGTTTTAAGTTAGATTCTAAAAATCGTTAGTATTGACACATTAACTTTCAAGATTTCTCTTTTTGGCCACTGACCTATATAGAGTTGTCATCTCTGCATGATTGTTGTTTTTTGTTTTTTTTAACTTGAACTGACTTCTCTAACTCTCATAGCTGTGGGTTTGAAAGGGGGAAAAAAAGCGTCTTTCTATATATGTATCACAGTAAGCTATAGCATGTTTATGACTCTGGTTTCTTTCTATTCAGGTGGTTCTATATCCTTTGTGTTAACACTGTTATAACTTGGCATGTCTAACATTGCCGTGTAGAATACAAAGTTACAAAATTTCATAGCTTGCAGAGTTAAAATACCAAAATCCATTTAGAATTGTGCGTTGTATATTGCTATTTTTGTGATGTGTGGCCTTTTTTCCCTGTAATTTCTCTTTTAAATAAAATATTGAACATACAGCAAACACAAAACCTGCCTCATTTGAAAAGAAATTTCAGAATTCCAATTAATAGTAGCCAGTAGACTGTTTTGTACTTTAAATATTTGTCAGTATGGTGTCAACTATACACCTAGGTAGCTTCTTGGTAAACCTAGTAGCTATTCAATGCTGTTTGTACTGAGCAAAGCAATGCTTAACCCATTATTGATGAAAACTTTGGCATTGTGGTAGCTGTTTGCATAATGAATAGCGTCATGATTATAAGATTGGATTATCTCGAAACATCCACAGTGGACTCCAAATTTTTTTTAATGATAAAAAAAAGTAGATGTTTATTATAATAATCCAGGCTGATTGATTCCTTAGACTTTGACCACAGATCAACCTGAGAGATAATTGAGTCTTGGGTGCCCAAGCTGTATAATCTGTTGCATATTTTTAATTATTGTTTTAAATTCAGTAAGCTGCATTTTAAAAATCGTTGTTACAAACTATTTGACCTTCAAGAAAGGTGCTATTTAAGAAAGGATTTCTAACAAACAGTTAATAAAAAAAATATATAAAAACCCATGCTAAGTAAAAATATTTCTGTTATCTGATCCCAGAGCTTTATCTACTAAGAATTATTAAGTAACCATAAGGGAAAAAAAATAATTTCTGTAAGTAGTATTCGCCTGTTTTGGTTATAAAAAGAGCAACTCCATGCTAAGCTTTATTTATAGGCCTTTTTAAAAAAGCTTTTTAGCTATTTTTACAGTAGAACATAATAGTGAAGGAGTTGAGAGATGACAATCAGCTAGATTTTATTTTCAGAATTTAAACAGCATTAACTGAACCTCAAGTCTGCCTTTGCTTATGAATAGCACATGACTCAAATGGTCCTTTCCTAACATTATTGTGTTTTTAATAGTTGTGCCACCTTTAGTTTTTACTTTGAACATAACTATTTTCCTGAAAGTCAACAATTTAATTCTTTCCTGTCAAGTTGATCTTACAGTTCTGTCAGAGTTTTCAGTTGACTTCACAGTACCTTTAGTTTAATATCCTCTTAAAGATATTTAAACTTGTTTACTTGATTGCTTGATTAGCAATATCAGATTTTTTTTCATGATTGCTATTTTATGTACATCATTTTTCTGGGTAAATATCTGCCAGAGAAATTAACATTAGAGAGAAATGTTAATGAACAGTGTAGAGAAGCTACTGGGTTGCATTAAAACATTTTTAATAACGCTCTTGTTAGTTTTTAAGAGCATTGTAGTTTCTAAGTTCCTTAATGAAATCCCTCATAAAAGTTTCAAAAGAATTTGATAAATCCGTCTGCACAAGGGTGATATTCATATTGGCTTTGCTTGAATGGCCTTTGATGCTTGTACCCAGTGAAAAGTATGAAACTGAAAAGTACAAATTTCTTAGTATTATGGACAGGAACACATTGGGTTGCTGGTCTTTGGGTATTGCTATTACACGATTCTAATTTGTTCTCAGGTCAGTATGTGGAAGAAGTTGGTATGCTCTTAGTAGTTCATTGTGCTTTACTGGCAATTTTCATCCACTTTAAACATTTTATAGTTTATATAGTTCTATAGGAATGTGTTTGTTTACCTTCACCAGAAGCTATTTAAATGTATACCATATAGTTGATTGTTACAAAGAAACAAAATGGATAACTTTTCTGTCTCCTTTTGGTCATATTTACTGTAGTTTAGCATTCATTTACAGTTGGATAAACTCTCCAAGGATTATAGGTTTATAACTTGTTTATTATGAAAAGATGTGTTCTGTTATAAATACTCATTTAAAAAATTAATGAAAATAAACTTCCGGAAGCGCAGCATTGGCTGATTCTTCTCTGTAGTGGGTTTCCCAGCTGCCTTTAAACGATGCAGGCCAACTCTGGCCTGTGGTGTGACACGAGAAGTGAATATTAAAGGAAAACAAAAAGTTCCATCAGTAAGATTGGAGAAGGGAGTTGTTTTTTCTTTTTAAATACAGGACTGAATGGTGGGGTTGATTTGTGTTTCTGCCTTTTTTTTTTTTTAAGCAAATTCCTATGTTACCAAAAATACGTGGCTGTATATTTTATTCCTCTTTTGTGTGCTTGTAGTATTTTGAAGGATTGATAAATGAACCAGGTGTTTTTGTATGTGGGGATGTTGGAAGTTATGGAAGGGAAAAACAAATGAAGTTAATGTACTGCTTTTCCTTGCTCAGAAGTCACTGTGATGTATATTTTTTTAATGAAATTGAGGAATAAAGTTGTCACAATTGTATGATTAGTTTGAAAATGCTGTTTCTCTTGTCAGTAACTTTTCTGCAAAAAGCATTGTACAGAATTTAAGCCCTGAAACTGTATCAACTTTTATAGCTCAACATTGTATTAAATAAACTATATTATAACAGTTTGTTTTTGTATTTTTAAAATGAGTTATATTATTCAACTTTTATTTTTATGAAGAGCCAAATAATGAAGAAAATCAACTAAAATATACTTTTACTTTACCGTGATACTGAGCTTAAAAAATCTAGCCAGCAGTGATTATTTCCAGAAGGTTTGGAAATAAGTTCTAGTGTAAATATTTATAATAATAATGCTTCAGATTGCAGTTTGTCTTTTGCAAACTTTTAAGGTTACTCTTGGATTTTGTGTTACTATCTACTGGAATGCTACATTTGCTTTTCATAATTCCTCCAAAATCTCACATTAGGAACATTACATCCTGTACTTGTCAGTTTTAATTATAACACCATTGTAAAGTCATAAATGTAAACTGACCTTTGTAAAATGAATTGACTAGTTTTTGGTTTCCTGTTTGGTTTGGTTTTTATTTAAATTAGACACATTTAGGGAAAACACACCTACTTGAAAATTGGTCACTGAAATATATATGGTTAGGTAAAATTCTAACCACTGGTTTGTATGTGTTAATAGGTGAATATTACTAAGCCATCAAATTCTGGAGTGTTTTTAAATGCTTTATTTAGCCAAGAGAATATGTAAAATGTAAGTGCTTCATTTGGACTGCAGATTGAGTATTAATTAAAATGCTTCTAGTATCAATTTTCATTGCTTCCTAGGTTTCTTTTCCTAAACATGTTTCCTAACCTAATACTATTTTCCTTTTTTATGTTTAAGTGCTGATTCATAAGTTTTACACTTTTTCTCCCCTTCAGTACCCAAAGTGTCTTGGTTCTAGTTTTTATCTTTGCCACAAATCTTAACTGTGGGTTTCTTTTATCAAATTAGCAGGTTAGAGCGTTTCCACTCCTCTGAGTGTGCTTTGCCACTTGCCTCTTCTCACTGAATTGTTTTGTAATTAGTTTTAAAACTGAATAGTCTTTTGTTTATAATGTGCTTATTAATTCTTTAGTCCCTAATTGCAAGTAAATCAATCAAATTATATATGTAAGAGAAAAACTAGTAATGTCTTCAGTGTTTTATTATCCTTCACTCAGCTAAGTTGATTATAACACATGTATGTAATTAACCATTTTGTAGAAACTTACCTGTTTTATAATTTAAAGATAGTTTTATCCAGGACCAATAATCATGCCTAAAACTGACTATAAAGGGTATATACTAGAGAGTCCCAGACTATTTTAGTTCATTGAGCCTTTGTATCCTGGTAATTTGAATATGGTGGCAACTCTAGGTGAAAAGAAATACCTAACAGGTGTGTTAAATAGTTAAGTTCAAATAGCTAAATTATGTCCTAACAACTTGGTAGCCATGTGCAAAATTAAAATACTCTGTTTGACTCTAAACCAGAATTAGCTACTGATGGGATATGTGCAACTTAGTCATTGTACACCTTCAACCTTGGAATCAGTTTGGACACCATCACCATCTTTTCTGTAGTACTTTGACTTTTGTGCAGTACTTAGTGTATTACCCCAGCAACAGCTGAAAATCCAGGTTTATAAAGATAGACATCATCAAAAGGAATGACTAATGTGTCATAACCGATCTACTCCAACCCATTATACTTTTAGATTGTTTAAATACCCTATGAACTGCTTTGTGAGATCACAGTTGTCCCTCAGGACACCTTGGCACAGTTTGGGAATCAGTGTATGTAGTGTTTTTAAACAGCTACATTGTTCCTTTAAAGATGAGTGGTTTGTTTAACCTGGGATTCATAAATGAAACAGTGGTTCAGAATGATGGCTTGCCTACAGAATCATTTATGCCACTTCTTAGGAGGATAGGTAGCCATCCTTGTACCAGATTCATTTAGGTACAATCAGGTATGGGTGAAAGTCACTAGCACGTGGCCTATGAAAGGGTGTTGGGAAGTCTTGAAATTATATGCAGAATATATATTTTTTGTATGTTTGTACACACACTACTGCTAAGGGAGCTGCAAATTTTTATCATAACCAGAGAATCATGACGACAGAATTGTTTCTGTAAGATTTGATCCCTGAGAGAATGCTGTTCTGTGAATTTACACCTATGCCAAGCATTCCCATGTGTAGGAATCTAAAAGATACACTCATGAAAATATGAAATGTATAAATGTTAATTGCAGAAATTTATAATAAAGGATTGGATACCACCATATCTTCATACACCACTGGTTGAATAAAGTGGTACATGCAGGCAACAGAACATCATGCCAGTTGGAAAAGGAATGAGGACGTTGGTATGTTGCAATGCTGTGATCTCAAGAATATATTAAAAAAGCAAGGTTCCTTTGTGTTAAGAGTAAAATACAAATATATAAACAAGCAAAGGATACAACTGAAAAGACAAGCTAATCTTGCAGGTGGGAGAGGAAATATTTGTAAATCATGTTTAATAAGAGATTAGTATCCATAATGTATAAAGAACCGTAACTCAACAACCGATGGAAAACTGCCCAAAAGGACTAGAGTAGACGGTTCTCCGAAGATGATATACAAATGACTGAAATGCAAATCAAAACCACAATGAGGTATCACCTCATACTCATTAAGTGGTTGCTATTAAAATAAGTGTTGGTGAGTACATACACCCATGTGCACTGTTGGGAATATAAAATGGTGCCACTCACTGAAAACAGTATGATGGTTCCTCAAATTAAAAAAAAATAAGATCGTGATATGACCCAGCAATTTCACTTCTGAGTATATCTCCAAAAGAATTGAAAGTATCAAAAAGGAAATATTTGAACATCCATGTTTTTAGCAACATTAAACAGTGGCCAAGAGGTGGAAATAATCCAAGAGTCCACTGAAGGAAAGGATACAGAAAATGTATATACAAGTGGTGTAATATTTTTCAGCCTTGAAAAAAGAAGGGAATTCTGACACGTGAAAACATTAGAAGAACCTTGAGGACATTATCTTAAGCAGAATAAGCCAGTCACAGAAAGATAAAGACTGTATGATTCCACATAATGAGGTATCTTGTGTTGTCAAACTCAGAATGATAGGGCCCAGGAGCTGAGGGAAGGGGAAAATGGAGAGTTGTTTAATGAGCATAGAGTTTCCATTTTGCAAGATGACAATTCAGGAGTTGGTGGTATAACTACATGTAGAAGAATTCTTTCAAGTGGCTTTAAAACATGGTAATTTGCATATGTTTAGTGAGATACACTACAGAATAAACCACAAGGAAGTCATCAACTGCATTTAGTAGTATTGCTAGTAATAATAGTATTGTTATTTGAAACTAAAGGATTAAACAATAAGTATATTTCTGTTGATGAGAAAAAAAATACTTCCAGTGGAATATTTAGGTATTAAAAGGAACTGATAATGGTGTAACATGGATGAACCTTGAAAATACACTGAAAGAAACAGTCCAGATACAAAAGGCCACACTATGATTCCATTTATATGAAATAACCAAATAGGCAAATCCATAGAGACAAAGCAGATTAGTGGTTGCCAGTTGCTGTGGAGAAGGGGAGTGGGAACTGACTGCTTAATAATAGGTGCAGAATTTCCATTTGGAGCAATGAAAAATTTCTGGAACTAGATAGTAGTAATGGTTGCACAGTATTATGAATATACTTAATGCCACAATATATATTTCTAAATGGCTAAAGTTACACATCTTATGTTGTGTATATATTTTCTCAAAATTAAAAAATGGAATCTGAATTAAGCTTGGGTGAAAAGTCAATTAAATCAGACATAATTGTACTTAGATGAAGAGTAGCTTTAATAATGGAAATCATAAGCATACAATTCACTTAGATTTGTAGCTCTTATTACTGGTCTTCTCAGTCTTAAAAATAAACTCTTCTACCATGTGAAACCTAGCCTTCCCTTAGACTTTTGAAAATTACTATACTTCGATTGCTGAGAGTTAAAAAAAGGGAGCTGGACTCCAGTGGCATCATTTGCCTGATAGCTGGGTCTTAATCCACCTCTGTCCACAAAAACTGGTCCATGGCCACTTCCAGGTCCTTCCTGTACAGCTTTTATAAGAGGATAAATATATTTATTTGTTGATTCAGACTCAAGTCGAATTACTTCTCTGGCATAGTCCTGAAATTCTTTCTCCTTTTCAGCCACAAGCGCTTCAGTAAGTCTATAATAGTCTAGTTCTGCTTGTTTGGCTTTCTTGGCATTAAACTTATTTTTGGCCTATTTGGGAAAGAAAGAAAATATGATTTCATATTGATAAATAAGATCAATTTTCTAATTATATGTAACATTTGAAGTGGTAAGTATAATTTTCTAAACTCATTGATATTTCACAAGTACTGACTTAAAAACTATATACCATAATTTATTTCAGAAACTTTTCCATACTTCTCACAATAGTATGCTCAAAGTAGTTGATTCAATGAAATGTACCTTAATAGTCTTATGTAATGATATATTTTCAAACAAACAATAGAGCAAAATGGTTAAAACAATGACATTTATATAAATAATCAAGTTTAGAATCCTGTTTCTACCATTTATAAGATTCATACTTTGGCAGGTATAGAAGACATCAGTCACTGTCCCCTCTTATCCACTATTCTGAAGGTACTCATTCAAAACCCACTGTCCTAAGTTAGCCTACTATACCATGTGGCCCAACCATATAAGAATAAATCAGTAATGGATATCAGAACTAAGTTAAACCAATTGCATTCTCTGTTTCCCAAGAATTTGAAGTTAGAATGAGTGACATTTATCTACATAGGCTGATCAAAAGCTGGATGGAATGAGTACTGTAGCAATCTATCACAAGCCATCTTACTAAAATTTCTAACCATTTACATTACAGAAAATTTCTAACCGTTTACAGAAATGTTCTTATGGCTGTTTATATTATATAAGATGATTTTAATGGCTTTTTAAAGATTTTTATAGTTTTGGTTAACTTTACATTTTGTCTTCCCATTGGCATTTAAAAAAAGGCAGAGTTTGCATTCTATGAGGCCAGCATCACTTTTATATCAAAATCAGGCAAAGACAC